CACACACACACACACACACACACACACACACACACACACACAACTAAGGGATGGAGGAAGGAAGAGATTCTATCCCAGTTTGTCACTCTTCAGTGGACCTTCAGGAGTGTGTGTACCACAGAAGCCAGGGTTTGGACGAATAAAGGGTTTTCAGTCTGTTCACCAGGCTGTGGCTAAGGCCCACTGCCTGTGAGTTGCTGGCAGCTGTTGAGGATAAGTCTTCTGGGTTAGCTGCTGTGTTCATTGCAGAGGAGAGGGGTGAGAGGGTGCCTTTCGGGAGTACAGCGCTTCTCAGCTTACCAGCGAGGCCGTGCTTGCTCCATGGTGCTTCTGTGCCCCTGGGGAACTGCATACCCAGCCCAATGGACAGGCTGTGTAAGGCTCCCACGTGTCCCTGGTTCTTCACAACCCTCCAGGCTGGGAAACATTTGCCTGCAGACATTTTCTTCCTCTCCATTGCATATGTTTTTGTGAAAGGACTAAGCAGGAGGACTTGGCAATGAATAATTCATGTGTGATTGTTTTCAAAATAGGAAGTTATTTTTCAAAGTGAGTAACCCATCTATTCGTTCCTGAGACCCATTGCCTCTGGGTGCTTCTGTGTGGGTGGCAGCTTTCTATCTAAACAGTCATTGCACCCCATGCTGCATATGCACAGAGCTGGGCCTGGGAACACAGGCAGAGGAGAAGTGCAGATGGTGTAGGCTTCCTAGGAAGGCCTTGGAATTCAGCCCCTCTCCTCAGTAATGACACAACCCATAGTCCTGCAATCAGCACACTATGGCCCCACACACACACACACACACGCGCGCGCGCGCGCGCGCGTACACATGATCAAGGCCAGGCCCCACAAACCAGGAAGGATGTATCAGCCATTTTCCCACTGTTCAACTACAGCCCCCTGCATTCTCTTCCTTCATACAGGAAATGAGGGTGACACCCAGATAAACTGTCCTTGCTCAGAGCCAAATTTAGACTGTTCAAGAGTTCAGCGTCTATAGCTGAGTAGGGAGGAAGTGTCTGAAAGCTCTACCCAAAGCCCTGTGCCCAATCGGGAAGGGGGGAGAAACTGCTTCCTGAAGCCTCTGGGGAAGATGAGGGCACATGAAAAATGACCTGTTCATACCCCTTAGTGGCCTCCTGCATGCTTCCATTTGGTGGGGTCACAAGATATTTGCCAAGACTCCAGCTAGCCTTCTCTGTGTGGCCAGTTAGGATTTGTGTAAGGCCCTTAGAATTCCACAACAGGCAGCTCCCTCTTTCCCTGGGTGTGTACAGTCTACTAACACCCCATTCTTTCCCCAGCCTGGTTTCCTTATTCCAACAGTGTGAAGTGGTTTGTGGTCAGAACCAGGTTTGAGCCCCAGCCCTGCCACTCCCAGGTCAGGTGACCGGGGCAAGTCAGTAGCCTCTGTTTCCAGGTTTTCATACCAGGGTTCTGAGAGGTCCCTTCTCTGAGCTGCTGATGGGGTGAAATAGAGGCTGTCACAGAGGGCTCAGCACAGTGCATGGCTTGCAGCTGGAGAGCAGTGTCACCTAATGAGGGTGATGGATGTGGCCCAGCCCTGTCTCATGCCTGTCCTCCAAACTCTCCTCACTGGCTCTCTGCCCTGAGCTTTGTGCAACACCAGAACCATGTGACAGTGGCAACTTATATCACATCCTCTCCATGCTATATGACCCTGAAAAAACAGGGACACCAGTGCCAGGCTCCCCAGATACATCTTTTCAGTGCCAAGTCTCAATGCAAGTGAAGGGGGCAATGGAAGCAGGCTCAGTGGGCCATTCAGGGCACTTAGATGATAGTCTACAGAGCCTGGGAGCCAGTGTCCCCTGGAGTACCTGCTTCCTCATGATGTCCCATGCCAGCTGCTCCTGAAAGAGCAAAACACCCAGGAACACAGCTGGCTAAGCTGATGTCTCTGCCATGGCACCTAGTCTATGAGCTTTTCCCGGTACTGACCAGTGTGGGGCACCATGGAAAGGGCAGCACAGATTGCATTGTGTCCAGCTGGTGACTCTGGACCTTCCCTGGAGTGAATTTCTTAATTTTTTTTCTGATTTTTCGAGGCTGGGTTTCTCTGTGTAGTTTTGGAGCCTGTTCTGGAATTCTCTCTGTAGACCAGGCTGGACTTGAACTCCCAAAGATCCACCTGTCTTTGCCTCCCAAGTGCTGGGATTAAAGGTGTGCACCACCACAGCCAGGCTTCTGAGAGTGAATTTCAATAAAGCTTATACTCACATGCTACCAGGAGTGGTTTCCCCAACTAGTCACACATCCATGGTTCCAGTGTAACTAGGCTGTAGACACACCACTTTTCCCTACAACCCTTACACACTCAGACTCCAACAAGCTTTCAACAAGCTGTCTGTGGCTCTGTCCCAAGTGAGTTCAGCATCCTGCTAGCTGCACCATTCTGTTCTGAAACTGGAGTCTGCAGCCGTTGTTGAGCAGGTCTCCAATCTCAGACTGTGAACGCCAGGTGAACAGCAAGGACTGTGTCTTCTGTCCTCTGCACTGACTCCCAACACCCCTCTGTGGGAGGCACCCTCCCAGCAGACAGCTTCTGGATTGTCCCTGACCACCCATTGGCAGCAACTCAGCCAGCCAGTGTCCCCTAGGAAGGAGGATTTGGGACAGTTCTGTCCCAGTGTTATACAGGGACATGTATTTGCTTATGTGTTCCCCATCCCACGCCATATACAAAGATGGAACAGGAGACTGTGTCTGTGTTGGAGTGAAGGGTCCAGAAACCATCTGTGAGTGGACTCACATAGGGAGAGGTAAGATTGTGCCTGTGTCTGCCCTCCCATCAGACAACCACACAGCTTTCCTCTGTGGCCCATGGTGAAACTCGAGGGACGATCTTATTTTCCCTTCCAAAACTGCCTTTACTGTGCCTTTGACTCCTGGAAAATATGCAAATAAAAAGCTAGCTTATGAGACCCAGAAGCCACTCAAGAAACAAGAGAGAGCTGGGTACCTTGTCCGGCAGGGCCTTGGCAAAGAGCAGTTGAGCTGCCTGTGTCTGAGTGTCATACTGCCTGCACCCTTTGTTTACTCACAAGCCCCAAACAGGCCTGTGTCTCAGTCTAGGGACACAGGAGGCTGGCCCCACCCACAGCAGCCATGGGCGGGGTGGGAGGGAGCATACAAGTAATAATGACTGCAGGAACCTGTAATAATGACTGCAGGAGCCTGTAATAATGACTGCAGGAGCCTGTGGAGGAGCAGTGGAATACAGGATAGAAACCCTAACATCTCTCTCCCTCTTGCTTTCCTCCATGCTAGGTCCTGGAGGAAAGTGGGATGCCTATGAATGACAGCCAGTATGCAATACTGACCTCCAAGATAGGCTACAAGAAGGAGGGGATGAGTTACCAGGACTTCACCTCAGGATTTGAAGGTAACTAGCTGGCAGGTGCTCATGTATCTTGCTACAATGGGACCATATGGCACCACAGATCTTTTCTGGGAGTACTGTGCCACCTGTTTGCTCATGTGACAGCAACCTTAGCCAAGAGGCAGAAGCCATCTCGGCCTAATCTTATCTGTGTTTCAGCCATTTCACCAAGTTAAAGAGAACCACACACTTAGATGTTCCCAAGAGTACTTCCCCAGATGGTCCCCAGACTCACCTCACAGCCTTTAAGACTTTCTTCCACAAAACAGTGGTTATCTGAGGGCCAGGAATGGAGCTCAGTGCACACATTCTGGCCTGGCATGTACAAGGCCTTTCAAACCAGCCATACTGGGAAAAACACCCCCCCACACACACACAAAACCAAAAGATGGGTGTATGTAATTAGCAATGCCACCCACAGGTGGGTGTCATTCCTCCCTCTTCACAGGCAGGGATACAGACATTCTAGAAAAGTTAGTAGTATACCCAAGACCACCCAGGCATTTGGGTCCTGCCCCGACCCAAATGGTCCTTAAAAAGTTAGGAACCAGGTTTTGTGTCATGAGGTAAGGCAGAGCTGAGTCAGATCCTTGATCACCTGTGCCTCCTGCTCTCTGACAGTTGAAAGCAGACAAGACAAGCTCTCAAGAGAGCAGGGAAAGCTGGGCCTCAGACCATTTTAAGGTTCCAGGATTGTCACCTTCTCTTTGCCTCCAGTGCCCCAGCACAGGTACCATGATCATGTATAGAGCCACAGGAGTTCACTTCTCATTGCTGCAAGAAACCTTCAGGGTGACTGGCTGGGCAACTCTGGTGATCCTGTGTGGTAGAATATTATTTTAAAGTGTGTTACTCTTGTTTATGCTGTGGAACATTTGTTTAATGATGGAAGGTGTGTGACTTTTGTTTATGCTGCATTTGTTTAACTCTGTGAAGCTGTGTTACTGTGCCTGTCTAAAACACATGGTGGTCCTAATAAAGAGCTGAATGGCCAATAGCGAGGCAGGAGCAAGGAGTGTAAATAGAAGGAGACCCGAGGAAGGAGGGCATCAGGGGCCAGCCACCCAGCCAGCCACAGAGTAAGAGTGAGATTTACAGAAGAGAACGGGGAAAGCCCAGAGGCAAAAGGTTGACAAGGAGACCCGAGGAAGGAGGGCATCAGGGGCCAGCCACCCAGCCAGCCAGAGAGTAAGAGTAAGATTTACAGAAGAGAACGGGGAAAAGCCCAGAGGCAAAAGGTTGATGGGATAATTTAGTTAAGAAAAGCTGGCAAGAAACAAGCCAAGCTAAGGTCAGGCATCCATAAGTAAGAATAAGCCTCTGTGAGTGATTTACTTGGGATCTCGGTGTTGGACCCCCCCCAAAAAAAAAGGGCCAAAAAAGTAAAAAAATATTTTGAACAATAACCCTGGGCACATGTCCCTTTCCCTGTCACTGGCTTTGAGGGGTGACTTCATTGCCTCTGGAGAGCATGCCTCAGGCAGCACCTCTACAAACATAACAAGAGACAGTGTCCTACTCCTCTGGGGCGTGGGGAGGCACTGAGCAGCAGTGACAGCTTAAAATGCTATCACCTTCTGTCTGTCTTGACACCCTTGAAGGAAAGCATCCCTGAGGCATAGCCTCTGGGCAGGTACAGCCCTCTCTGGGCAGGGTGAATAGGTCGTTTGCCTGAGGCCTGAGATGGGAGAGTGCTGTACCTTACCCTCTCTTCCTTCATTTCCTTTCCCTGGTCTATCCATGCCATTTTGAGGAGCCCGTTGTCCTCTACTAGGCCCCACAGGGCCAGCTGCTTCAGGAAGGGAAAGTCATGCTCCAATGACCTTAGGCAGACACACAAGCACAGGTTCTTGTGTGTGTGTGTGTGTGTGTGTGGAGAGAGAGAGAGAGAGAGAGAGAGAGAGAGAGAGAGAGAGAGAGAGAGAGAGAGAGAGAGAGAGAGAGAGAGAGAGAGAGAGAGAGAGAGAGAGAGAGAGAGAGAGAGAGAGAGAGAGAGAGAGAGAGAGAGAGAGAGAGAGAGAGAGAGAGAGAGAGAGAGAGAGAGAGAGAGAGAGAGAGAGAGAGAGAGAGAGAGAGAGAGAGAGAGGGAGGAGGTGGTCATTGTGGAGGGTCATCTGCCAAGCAGTAACCACCCCCTACTATGAGGTGGAAAAAGAAGTTATGGAGCCCTATCCCCACCCTGCCCACTTCCCAAAGACCCCATATGTTACTGTGTGTAGCAGGATGAGCCCAGCCTGGTGAGCATGGGATGAGTGAGGAGGCTATAATTGTCTATCAAGCCCTGGAAGTTCTAGTCATGCAGTCCTGAGTAGGGACCTTGTGAGCCCCATCTTTAGCACAGCACACACTTCCTTGCACTGAAAGGGGCGTGACAATCTAGTCCTTCATGTAGTTGGAAGAATCTAACTCTGAACCCCTAACCCCTCCCCTCTCCCCCGAGTTGCTGCTCCCTGGCAAGGATACAGTGGTGAGGAAAACCTGCCGAATTAATGATCGGGGGACCGATTCATATCCTGTCCTTAGGACATGATTCTAGAGAGTAAAGGAAGAGGCGGAAGTCCTCCTTTGGCCCTGGGAATCAGGAGATGAACCAAGGAAGGACAGAATTGTGAGACAGGTGTTCGCACCAAGGTACTAAGTGTCATGTGTCCTCATGGTGTAGAAACCATGCTCCCTTGGAGATAAGAACCTTTCTAAGACATGTTGGGGGAGATAGAGAAGGGATCCTTACAGCCGTGCTGTGCTGGGACCATGGAACGCCATGCCACGTGGGGTCTTATTCAACCAGGTTTCAGAAGAGAAGTAGACATGGGGTTTGGCAAAGAGCTGATGGAAATCTCCCACTTGCTATCCTTTCAGAAGGTAAGCTGAGTGGACTGGAAACAGTTCCGCTGCAGCCACGCACTTCCTCAAAAACAAATTTGGACGAGTACTTCATATCGGCTGAAGAATGCCTGAGGCTCTTCCCCAAGAAGCTGAAGGAGTTGTACCGGGTAACTTGTGATCCTTACACCAGAGCTTCTCTGAGTCTCTGCCTGGTCCCCACCCCACCCCACAGCTCACACATGTGTGAGTTCTGGTATCCAGTCAGACCCAGTGGCTCCAAGGGGCACACAGAGACAGGGACTGGCCTGGTCAGCCTAACTTTGAGGCCCCCCACTCTGCTGAAATGCCCAGTCAACACTGATGGTAGAATAAGGAGCCCCTCTTTTCAGGGGGCGTAACCACCCTTGGAACAGTGGACTCGGGACCCCGCACACACCCACTTGCACTTATTCACTCACCAAACAAATATTGCATGCTCACTGCATACCCGTGTCTGTACCACATGTCTAAGTACCTTGCCTGGAGTCTTCATATTGCATGCTCACTGCATACCCGTGTCTGTACCACATGTCTAAGTACCCTGCCTGGAGTCTTGTCCAAGACACAGACATTGTGTCTGGCTGCTGAGGGGGACTTGGTAGAGTACTGTCAGACACCAAGGCAGAGCCCAGAGGAGGAAGGTGGCCCCTGCTCCAACTCTGGAGCCCTAATCATATGCTTGATCTTCAACCTGATCACCTGGCTGGCAAGGACAATTGTACCAGCATGCCACTGGCTGCATCTCTGCAAGTCCAGGCTTTTGCACCTACATCCCATTCCTTTAAACAGCGAGCAGGATGAAGCAGACCCACAGGAAGGTGGCATGCTACCTTTCTACACTCCGTTTTCTACTACACAGTCTGCATCTAACCTTGCAGGGTGCTCCGTCCACATATCTCTGGTCAGTCACCTGCTTCACTCCAACTACTCATTCTGATTCTGCTCCGACATGGCCCCCATCTCATTTGCACTTTCTGTTCCCTTCCTGGGCAACCCCTCCTTTACTTTGGGACAGCTTTGACCACCTCATCTTCCTGTCCTCCTTAAGCCCTCACACGAGCCACATGGATCTGCTGGCCCTCAGGGTACCCAGCCTATAGACTGTTGTAAGCTGCTTGATCCAGAATCCCCATCATTCCTTCACCACTCCCCACGGTACCCCAAGTGGCTGCCACCTGCTTGCCACCCAGGGTATCAGTGCTTAGTAGGTGAATAAATGAAGTTTTGCATCATGTGCCAGGTGGTGAACACATGTATTTGTTTTAATCTCCACCCGCTCTATCGAGTATCGAATATTGAGGAAACTGATGGTCAGAGATGGGAAGTTACCCAAAGCCCAACATCTGTTGAGTGCAATGGCCAGGATCTGGAGTGCATCTGTTCAGGTGCAAGGCTTGTGTGATGATACTTGGGGTTGTCATGCTGGGGAAGAGACTGCTGAGATGAGAAGTGACTAAAATGTACAAACTTATGAGGATTATAGATACCAGGTTCTCAGTTGTGCCTGTAGCACAGCAGTGAAGGCTGGCGGGACACTGGTCTCACCCTTGGCTTCTGTGTTGTGCATCACATTGGAGTGCTATTACCTGCTTCCTGTCTTTCCTCCCCAGTGCTATGAGAGGGCCATATGTCAAGGGCTGTGCTTCTGCTGTGCCCAGAGGAGAGTTAGCACCTGACAGGTACCCAGAGCATACTCTTAGCCCCATTTATCCATCAAGCTTTATCACATATGAGTGTGGGGCATTGCTCTGGGAGCTGGGGCTGGAGCCAGACAGATGGAAGCACAAATCAGCCTACAGGCAGAGGCAAGGCATGAGACAGAAGTAAACTTTGCAGGCTTTGTGACTATAGAGGAAGGGCTCACAGACATGGTTCAAGGCAGCCTTGGATGCCAGAGAACCATGGGGGAAAGGTGGGAAGAGATGGGGTTTGAATGTTGGGCTCTCCTTATGGGACACACAGAGCACAGGGGATGGGCAGCATGAATGGCTAGGGTATGGGGATAATATGATGTAGATGAGATGGTAGCCAGGAGTCTATTAGATTCCTGAGGGATGGGGCCTTTAGGTGGGATTGAGGCAGTTAGGTTTGAAGGGCAGGTTCCACTATGGAACCGGTGTCCCTGCAGGGTGGTGGCTGTGAGTGGCGAGTAGGCAAGGAAGGGAAGTGTGTGTGACACATTCCTTCCTGGGACATGAAAGGGAGGACTTGGAACTCTGAGAATGTGGTCTGAGCAATTAGTAAGAACAAGCTACCATCTACGGAGGCGAGAAGCCTGTGAGGATTAGGCAAGAGGTTTGCCTTTGACCTTGTTCAGACTGGGCATCTGAGCATCTCGAGTATGAGAGCCTCAGAGCCAGACTTAGAGGGAACCAGTGAATGGAGGAGTCTGCAGTCCCACTAAGCACCCCCCCCAACAGAGCCCCCTCTCCCCTGGATGGCAGTGACATCTAAACAATCCCCACGGTGTTCCGAACAGTGACTGCACATAGTAATGTTTGGTGACTGAATCAGTGAGCAAACTCAGCTAGAGCTTTCCACAAAATCCCAGGGCATCTAATTAGACACTAACACAGAACAAGCCAACTCTATGTTCTGAACAACTACTACTGGGGAGCTATAGAATGAGGAGATCAGGATGGTGCCTTCAATACACCAGACAGGTTCCCAGAGAAGAACTGTGTGAGGGACCCACAGACACAAGTGTGCTAAAACCATGTTGACAGTGTTGCAAGCCAGGGGTACAATGCACATTGTGGCCATAATGCAGGTGTTGGTCCAGAAAGAGGCTCACGATTGCTCTCTGACTTTAGGCAACAAACAGCATTTTAGGGCACTCACAAACCATGCCAAGTGACCTCTAATGTATGGCACATTCTTTTGCAATTTTATAGATGAAGAAACAAAGGGTGGCAAGCTCAGATGCCCTGCCCAAAGTCACACTGGCAGTAAGAGGGTGTGACAAATAGTCTGCTAAGGGATACACCAGCAGTTAAATCACAGGTTCACGTGACCCTTGAACCTGTTTCTTCATATGCAAAGTAGGAATCACGGAGCCTCTGGGCAGCACCATGGACAGAGCAGTGGGCTTGTGCCCAACTTCCAGACAGCGTCCAGGCACATGAGGCTGCTGGATGTGACACCTGGCCTAGGATTTGCTTATTGGGAAGGAGAAGTGGCCAGACAGTCCAAACACTACAGGAAGCAGGGAGAGCTTTAAATTTTCTAGGAAGTCCCACCTCAGTTCACATACAGGTACCAGCCATGCGGTGTCCCAAGCTGTCCACATTCTCCAGCTCCTCCAAGTTTCCTGGCAACCAGGGCCAGGAAGCCAGGAGCAGTGGGGTCTCCAGGAGCCGCCGTGGAACGGGTGTCCCTGCAGGGTGGTGGTTGTGAGTGGCAAGTAGGCACGGAAGGGAAGTGTGCTGACGTGTGTATTTTGTTTCTAGGACCCCTACTCTGCCTTCTTTAAGGTAGACACGGACATGGATGGCCTAATCAACATGAATGATCTTCACAAATTGCTACAGCAGCTACAGCTCTACATGAAGGACAGCGAGTATGAACGCTTCCTCGGCCTCCTGGGCTTGAGACTTAGCCTCACTCTAAACTTCCGAGAGTTTGAGAACCTGTGTGAGCAGAAACCCTGGAAATCAGATGAGGCACCTCAAAGGCTCATTAGGTGAGAAGATGGTGTGTGGTCAGAGCCGTCGGCGTGTGCCTCTCCACCTGGAAGGCCAGTGGTTATGCTGTAGCCACAGTGGGACACAAAAATGACCCTGGAGCCCCCTCCCCCGAGTTTAAGAAAACACACACACATGCGCGCACGCGCGCACACACACACACACACACACACACACACACACACACACACACCACATGGTGGATGGAACAATCAGATAAGACATGCAAGGTTCCACCATGGGGTGAGGCTTTATTGTTCCAGGCTTTTTCTCATACATGTAAATGCATACACGTACTTATTGTCCATTTCTCTGCCTGGAGTCAGATGTGTGCTTTCTGCTCAGGCTTTCACGGCTGAAACATTGGCAACCTTTGGACACTTTGTTGGACACCCCACTGAAGGGTGGGGTGTGGAGGCTTCACAGAAACAAGGTTCATAGAAACAAAGCATCAAACAAGATGCTTCTGTCTCCTTCTTAACTCTAGATATCCATCCAGGTCATACGTGAATGTTTAGGGGGGCACAAAGCCATCTGTGGCAGTTTTTCAAGAGATGCAGGGACCTCCTTCCAGCCTGTCCCAGACAGCGTTGTCCCTACACCCCTGCCTGACCCACAATGTCTCACCCTGGCCAGGAGAGTCTCAGTGTCCATTCAGGCTTCCCTGTTTGTCTTTCTGGCCTTCCTAAGATCAGAATAAGTGGGGCTGTCACCTAAAAGACACCTATCACAGAAACACCCAATGACATCCAAGGAAATCCGACGTATGAGCAGAGTAGCTCATCTGTCCTGGATGATTACAGCATCATTCTTTTTAAATGTGTGTTTGTGTCTATGCACATAAAGGGTGTGCGTGTGTATGTGTGTGTGCGCACATGTGTGTGGAGGTCAGAAATCAGCCTCAGAAGTTAACCCCAGGAGGTTCTTGGGGAGCCATCCACCTTATCTTTGAGACAGCACCCCTCGCTGAGATGTAGGGCTCCCTTGACTAGACTGGTCATTGAGTCCCAGAAATCCTCCTGTATCTATTTTCCAGCATTCGATTACAAGCATGTACCAACACAGCTAGCATTTACATGGGTGCTAGAGTTTAAACTTGGGTTCTCATTCTTACAAGGTGAGTACTTACAGACAGACATCTTCCCTGCATGCCACTCTTCACACACAGAGGGGACTACAAATCCACCATACCTCCTATCCAGGCACATGGAGCTGCAAGAGGTAGGGCCCTGGTAACATCTGGCAAAGCTGCAAAGGGCCTTTGACCATGTACTTGCTTAATGCTCCCTGAATTTATTAGTTTTATTGTAATTATTACGGGGGGGAAGGGGAGCAAGAAAATTACCATAATCTCTTCCTAAGCAAAATGATCACATGACACATGAGAGGGATGCCCACATTCCTCACTTGGGTTCTAGAGGGTGTTCATATGAGAGTAATTGTTTAATGTTGAAATGGAACCAAAACAATACTGCCAAGGAGAAAAGAGATAGCTCAGTTGTTAGGAGCATTGGCTGCTCACACAGAGGACCTGCTCACAACTATCTTCATTTCCAGCTCTAGGGGATTCCATACCTTCTTCTGGCCTCCATGGGGCACCTGCATTCACATGCACATGCGTTCTCTCTCTCTTTCTCTCTCTCTCTCTCTCTCTCTCTCTTTCTCTCTCTTCTCTCCTCTTCACACACACACACACACACACACACACACACACACACGTATAAATAAATTTTGAGGGGCTGGAAAGATTAAGAACCTGTAGCAGAGGACATGATTTTGGTTGTCAGTGCCCACATTAGGTAGCTCATTAGTTACAATTACCTGAAACTTCAGCTCCAGGGAGATATGACATCTCTGGCCTCTCTGGGTACCTGGGCACTCATGTGCACTTAGCACAGACACCTGCTTACACAGATGTATAATTTAAAAGAATAATAATAAAAATACTTCCAAAGAGTATTTTGAAGAATTTGTGCAGAATGAGTATAGAAAATTTCAACACAACATAGAGTTAGCCGCCTAGTGGTTTGCCTTGTTCACATCTGTTCACTTGTTGGATGTTTGCAAAGACCAGCTCTGTGCTGGGCACTATTCTGGGCCTTGGTGGCACAGATGTGAACAGGGCTCACTGCCTCATTAGGAGGTCAGGATGGAAGATGAGATGACACAGAAGTAAAGAGCCACACTGGAGCGCAGGGAGGGTCAAGACAGGTGTCCTGAAGAAGTGGGTACACTTGATTAGGTCTTGAAATGTGAGGAGGAATATTTCCATTGATAGATGGTGGTTCAAGGCCAGAGGACATTTGCAGAAATCACAGAGCAGAAGCACCAGGCACATTCAGAAGCTGTTGGTGGAGATGCAGCCATGCGGTGGGGCACGTGGGGAGGAGTCGGGGGGCCAGAGTATGAAGCAGCCCCACGCAGGTGGCAGTTCCCTTTTCCAGCAGCTAGGTAGGTTTCATGTGCTGTGGGATGAAGGAATCAGAATGTATTCTAGAAAGATCTTTCAGCAGCCCGAGTGGAGGATGAACTCAGGGAGTAGAGGCTGGATCATAGTGGCATGTGACCAAGAGTCTGGAAGAGACATCTCTGAGACCAGAAGCAAGACATGGCTTTAGAGAGTACTGTCCTCCTGGCCAGACCCAGTGCTGTGACTCATGAGACCCCATGGGCCCTATCAGGAGGCATTCCTGCTGGCCTTAGAGAGGAAGGAACTGGGTCTCAGAGAAGAACTAGTGATGTGTTCCTAAGGACCACAAGAGAGGTGGAGGGCAGGGAGGAGCACTGGTGTCTCCTGGGAGTCTTGCCCTTTCCACAAAGCCACCTATTTCTAGAAACCTCCTGTCCCCTTGGTTGGGTCCCCTATGCTACAGGTCTTCACTGTCCCTTGACTTCGAGAGTTGTTGCTCTGTTAAAGAGAGGATGACCTCTTGTTTGCTGTATAGCTACAAACACTGGCTTTCCCTTTGTGGATACCTACTGGGATGACTTGTTCCAGGGAGCTGTCTCCCACTCACCTATTGAACACAGTGGCCCTGGACATCTCACCACTCACTGTCATACAAGTGTATGTACTGTCGGGGTCCTTGTCACAAAGATAGACTGTACAGATTCTTACCATGGAACACTATGCAGTCAAGTCTTTCCTGCTGGGGGATCAACAGAGTAAGCCTGTCAGGTCTCCATTTGTCCTCTAAGATGCCATTCACTGTGAGCTTTGTCCCCCATGGGGCTATCTGATCTACCTCTGACTGTCCAATGCCATTGAAACCCCTTCTTATCTCACTTCTAGTCTGTAGTCATCTGAGAGTTGTGCATGAACTTTAACCCAACCCTACAGAGAGGTGGTAGAAAGTTATTAAAGGCACAGTGCAACCCTGGGCTCTGCAGTGGGAAACTAGGACAAGTTCATGGGGATGTCTGTCAGCATCCCCTCCTGCTGGGGAGATTCAGTCAGCTTTTTCCTTATTACGGCCTTTTCTTCTTCAAATATTTACTGCTACATACATGTGTGTGCATGCTCCATGTGTGTGGGAGCCCATGGAGAACAGCAGGGTGTTGGGTCCCCTGAAGCTGGAATTGCAGGCAGTTGTAAGCTGCCTGATATGAATGCTGGGACTCTCCCCTTCTGCATCCTGCCTCCTTCCTCCCATATCTGTTTCTTTATAGAACATGCCTGTACCCAGCCTTTTTGAGGGCTCACCCTTTTCTCCTGGGCAAGTCTTTGGGCTGCCCAGCCATTGTAGGATCTCATGGTTTCAGTATTGCCCTCACTGGTGCATCTTTTACCTTGATAGTTTCTGAGATTTTCTTTGTTAACAATAGTGTTGAGTCATATATTCTGGGCAATTGCAGTATTTCATGAGGATACTCAGGACCTGTTAGACTCCTCTGTGGTGTGTTGACTGGTCCGCCTTTCTCAGTAGGCAGTTGGCTCACTTAGTCTCTTTAGCCTGAGAGTCCTGACCTTCCTCCTGGGGCTACTGGATTCATCCAGCTATACAAGCCATTACAGCACTCCTCCAGGGACACTGTGGTACATACCCAGGCCCAGGCCAAGTGGCAGAGTCAGGCCCCAGAGCCACTGCTAGGCCACTAGCTGACATCAGAGATAGATCTGGACTTCTGACACAGGTGTGGGAACTTCTCCCTGCTCACTTCCCTATCTGACTCTACCCACTCTCTCCTGCCCAGGGACTAATTCCTGACTAGAAAATCTTAGAGTTGAACCTGGTGGTGGTCACGTAGTTGTGCCTCTCCTCAGTTAGTCTTTAGTGTAACATAAGAAAAGACAGACAGAGAAGGGGGTTGGGAAAGGAGAGACAGAGGGGGAGGATGAAGACAAAGATTGCATCTAGGCCTCTCAAGGCCCAGGGGTTCCTTGAGACTTCACAGTGATTGTGAACAGAGAAGGGGGTTGGGAAAGGAGAGACAGAGGGGGAGGATGAAGACAAGGATTGCATCTAGGCCTCCCAAGGCCCAGGGTTTCCTTGAGACTTCACAGTGATTGTGTGCTGTTCCCTGGCCCCCTGCTTAAGCCTTCCCTCCATTTATGAAGATGATTGTCTCTGAGGAAATTTGATTACTTTTGTCTGGCATGTGTATTAAGTCATAATGTCTGCTCCTTGAAAATGTAGACTTTGTAGTCAACCACTGCAGGTGCCGGGCCTGTAAATGTTTGCTGTGGCTGACCAAAGGAAGGCTAGTGTGACAATTGTCAGAACCTAAGGGGTCAAGGAATAAGAAAGGAATGTGTCATTGCTGGAAGAGGCCAGACAGAAACAGGATCAATCCACAGGGAGAGGAGGCATGGCTATAAAAGCCTGTGCCTGAGTAGCAATGTGATGGTAGAGGCCCAGAGCCTAACCCAGCAGCAGGGTGGTGTGCAGGCTGCTTGGGGGTGTGTGATAGGGCTGAGGTCCTGGAGCACCTCAAGGTCCAGGAAAGTCCTTTGTGAACAGGTAGGATTAAGAGTCTAAAGGTGACAGCAGGGACTGTCCCTGTGAGCAATCAGTGTCTATAATGGCCAGCATGTTTGTGTCTTCCCATGCTACCACAATCTAATAGTGGTCCTGAGTTTACAAGCTGCCTTAGTTTTACCAAGTACTCCTCATTTCACTTGATTCCTGTGTCCAATGATGACACAAGATCTTGTCATTCTTTCAATTTTTTTATGGATGTTCTGGTTTTATGTTCTTGAGACAGGGTCTATTTGTATATCCCAAGCTGGCCTGAGAACTCACACAATTTTCTTCTCTCCACTCCTGAGAGCTGAGGTGTATACCACCATGCCCTGCTTATATATTCCATTCTCAGTAACTCTCAGACCCCAGTCATCTATATGTAGAGGCCACAGAGTGTCTTCAAAGGGGCTAGAGTTCAAAGGGCTGTACTGGAGGCCATGATCCCATGCAGATGCAGGGAAAGTGTCTGTAGGGGACAGATCAGACTTCTACAGCTTCTGACACAGGGCTGGACAGGGCACAAAGTTGCCAAGTGCAGGTCAGCATGGTAGGTTGTTCTGAGTGACAGTTTAAAGTGAGCCACGTGTCACTGCATGAGAACCTGTAACTGAGCTGGAGCCCAGGAACAGAGATGGGGGTCCTTCCCCATGAAAGTTTTCCTGGGTGACTAGGTGGCAAGTCCCTGTGCCTGGCCAGTTTCATCTTAAGGTACTGCTTCTTTGATAGGCCCAGGTGAGGGGCTACATCTGGCAGGACAGATAAGCTCATGTACCTGGAATTTCCGATAGGATCCCACCTATGCACAGGTGCTGTTATTTATTGACACAGATAAATTATTTACCAGTTTGTGGCTCCCGCTGTGCTGGCAGATGGCAGTTGTTTACTTGTGTAAACAAGATGCAGCCTTGTTCCATCTCAGTGCTTAAAGTAACTCAGGTCAGAACGCTGCTCTCAAGTGGAGACACAGAGGGCAAGACCACCAAAATCTGCTGCTCTGCACAGTGTAGGGTCATCCTGGGAGACCTCTACTCCTCAGCACCTCACTGGGGTTCCATCCTTCCAAGCCAATGGAGAAAAAAAATCACAGGATCCTGACAGCCTTCCCAGGTCACCCACAGGGGACACAGCCACAGGGTACACAGCCACAGGGGACACAGCCACAGGGGACACAGCCACAGGGGACACAGCCACAGGGACCAGGTGGCTGAGCAGCGGATCCTTTCCCACCCTTGAAGTTCCGTGATTCTGAGGAGTCCAGTAGGCAGTTGGAGGGAAATGGCGAAGAAACATGGGTAAGGCTAGACACTCAAAGGACTGCTCTGTGGGTAGAGGGGGAGTTGCCAGGGATACCAGAAGCATTAAATGGGAAAGGCAAGAAGGAGTCAAACCAGGAGGCAGGTAGAGAGGGCTCAGGGCAAGGCAGGGATCCTGGAGGCAGGGATCCTGACCAGGCCAGTGGTCTCAGTCATACATAGTTTCCTGATCTGATAGACAGGACAGCCCAGGCATCCTTCCTCCCTCTCTAACCACATCCACCACTGTGCCTCAGGCAGACCTCTCCAGGGCCACAAGCACAAGGTCTTTTTTAAGGTCTCTTAAGTGTCCCTCATCTGTAACTAAACACAATGGAATTGTGGTAATCTTTGAATCCTATAAGCTTAACCCTTGAAAATTAGTGGTGGTGGCCATGGAGGTATGTCAGCTGTTAGGAGCATGCTCTGCTCTTACAGAGGCCCCAAGTTCAATTCCCACCACTGTCAGGCAGCTCACAACTGCCTGTGGCCCAGCTCTTCTGAGGGCATCTACACTTGTGCACTTACTCTGCCGTCCCTATATATACACTCTATATTTAGAAATAATAAAAATAAGTCTTGAGAAGGAAAAGTAGCTAGGTGAAGGGACCTCCGTGCTTGCTAATTGCACCTCTGCTGACTTGAGTCTGTTCTTCTACCTGGATTTGCAAAATCAGAATGAAACATTGCTAGCTGTTTCCTTCCTAAGACACTTAATGTAGTATTGTACATATATTCTGCTTTCCCGAACCCCAAGGGAAGAAACAGTCCCTGTAAGCTTCATGTGCTGGGGAAAAAATGATTTTTCTTAACTCTGAAAATAAAGTTCCCAAAGACTTCCTGCCATGCAGCTGCGAGAAATAGTGTGTTCTAAGAACTGTTAGTCTAGATGTGAAATCACAGACTTTCATGGTATCTTTGATGCACCGAGGGTGAGGATGGGGGGCCCTTGGGAGGATCCTAAGCCCATCACTTCTAAACACAGTTGTTTATTCTTCTTTTAAGATATAAACAGAGGGTTGCAGATTCCGAGCTAGCCTGTGAGCAGGCCCATCAGTATCTCATGGTCAAAGCCAAAACCAGATGGGCAGACCTATCCAAGGTAAGGAAGGGGAAGGGAGCCAGAGCCGTGCAGAGAAGGGGAGACAGTGCCAGGTACCCATGATGTTGGCCCCTGCCGCTCTTCAAATACTTTCCCCAACACTCTGAATGATCTTGGCTTTGTCTCTAACCAAAACACTATCGGTGACTGTGATTATGAAGAAGTTATTTAGATATTTCTATTATTGTTGAGTAGTAGAGTTGCATTGCTATAAAAACCAGAATATTCTATATCTACTTCTAACATTAACATTATCAAGATGCTTAAAGATACAGTAAAGGGCTGGCGACATAGCTCATCAGGTAGGGGAACTTGCTGCCAAGCCGGAAGACCTAAGTTCAATACCCAGAACCCTCATGGTAGAAGGGGAGAACTGACTCTACCAAGTTGTCCTCTGACTCCACACATGCACTATGGAATGGGCACATGCACACAAAGATACAGAGGAAAGAAGGTGCTCATGGTGGCATGTGCCTGTCATTCTAGCATTCTTGAGGCCAAAGTAGTGAGACCACTGCAAGTTCACTGGCAGACTGAGGTTACATATTAAGGCTGTGTTTCAGTAAACCACACACACACACACACACACAAAAAAAAAAAAAAAAAAAAAAAAAAAAAAAAAAAAAAAAAACCTCAGGTGTGGTGACTCAAACTTGTCATCCCAGTTTTAGAAAGGAAGAGGTAAGGGGATCAGGAGTTCAAGGTCAGCCTCAGCTACAGAGTGAGTTTGAGAGCAACCTGAGATACATAAGCTATTACTGAGAGGAAGGTGTGTAGGGGAGGAGAGATTAAATTTATGATTCAAATGTTTAATTTGTTTTATTAATCTAAGATAGCATATCTTTCAAGAATTGATCATTTTAATTTCATGAAGAGCACCAACCTAAAAACATCATCAAGGTGGTTAATAAAAACCAGTATGTTGACAGAGACAACAAACAACCAACCCCAGAGACACAGCACTAACGTCGTCCCAAGTAAACTCTTATTTTAGGGTCACTGGTGGGAGGAAAGCATGGAAGTCCGGAGTCTGTGGAGAACTTCCTGGTGTTAGCTCGGGCTTGGGGAGGATTTATGGTTTAAGGGGAAAATCTGAGAAAGTGTCACCAGCGATTTCACATAACAGCCATCTGATTAAGGGGAAAATCTGAGAAAGTGTCACCAGCGATTTCACATAACAGCCAGTAGGCATCTGAAGAGTTGTTTTATCCCATCTTGACAAGATAACAGGAAGTGTGCTTTCAAGGCATGTGACCCCCATGAGCAAGCTCCTAAGTGGTGGTGTCGTGGATATCCAACCTGACAATGACAGTGACAGCTAAACCACAGGACAGAATGGGTAGGGTGGCTTCTTCCTTACTCTAGGATGTGGGGTCACCACGGACACAGTGACCTCGCTCTAGAAAAGGAGGGTCACGAGTGCATGCTGGAGTGTCCTCTCTGTTTCTGAAGGTGACCCTTCCATGTCTTATAAGGGCATTTGCCCTCCCATTGGCTCCTTTTTGGCTCCGGCCTAATGCAGAGTTCTGCTGGAGTCTCTCAAACCTAGGCTTCTCCTCCCCACGGTATCCTCAAGATAGTGGGCTGTGGCCCAATGAGGCAGGCTGCACCCTCCTTTCTGTCCCTCCACCCTGCTCTCTGACCAAGAGTTGCCCATTTCCTCCTGCTGTGGCTGTTCTACTCTTGGCGGGCAAGCTCTGGCTCCTCATGGCCAGGTACAGTTGCCAGCTCTGGGGTTTTTCTAGCTGTCTCTTGTCTGGTTAATGATGCTCCCTCCTGATCCTGGTTTGCTGAGAGGTATTGTCATCAGTGAGGGTCAGGTTTTGTCATGTGCTTCTGCAGCAGGTGAGATGATCAAGTGGCTGTTTTCCCCTCTGTCTATGAGATGGATCACAATGGAGGATTTTCAAGCATTGGCCCCACCTTTCTACAATGAATCCCACGTAGCCAAGGCATCCAGTTCCTACCCATAGTTGCTTCAGTTTGCTGGTACATGCTTGCCTTCAGAAGTGATGGGTCTGAAGTTGACTTGTTCCATGCTGTCTAAATGCTAGGCTCACAGCATGAGGGAGGAGGGGTTCTTCTGTCTTCCTGGCACCTTGGGCTTTCTGTGTGCACATGTCTGTGCTGACAAGTTGCACCTGTGTGTCTCCAGCAATAGGCAGCAGCTTGCCCTTGGGCCTCACTCCTCTTACACACCCAAAAGCCGGTGGTGGTTGTTTGCTCAGGTGTTCAAATGCTATTGGGACAGTGCAATGCCTTCCAAGACTCCTGCATACCAGGCCTAAGCTAGAACCCACCACTGTTAGTTTGGTTATATTTAAGCTGTGACTCCTCTGGGGTGGGGTATGTAGAATGCAAATATGTAATTTTAAAGAGAATTAAAGGAATCACCATGCAGCCTTCATCTGGATGGAGGAAAAGAATATTATCTTAGGCTGGCAGTCAGCACACTTCTGCAGAGAGCAGACAGAACACATGTTGGGTGTGCATCACCTCTCCTCTCACCCCTGCGCAGCACTGTGCCCTCACATGGGGGCTTTCCATTCCAGCAGGTGTAGGGTTATCTCCTTTGGTCTCAATTCACATTTCGTTGCTGATTAATGAGACTACACATCTTTTCCTTAATCGGGCTTTCTGTGAAATGCTTCTTGGAGTCTTTTTTCTTCTGCCCTGCCCTGATCTCAGTGAAGACCTTCTCTCATTCTCCTCGAGGAAATCAGCAGTTCAGGTCTTGAAATGTGGACCAGCTGTGTACCCTGTGGGAGGGCATGCCCGCCTTCATCTCTTCTGCATGGGGACCAGGTGTCCCTTTATTTCATTGTCAAGTCCACCTTTACTTCACTGCCCTGCAGCTCCTGCTCCATCCTCCACCCCTCCCACAGAGCCTCTGACCCACTGGTCAGATGAGTATTCTGACCAGTGGTCAGTTTGTCTGTCCTGGCCCCAGTTCTGTACCTTTCTAGTCACTGTAACTTATGAATGCACCTTGACAATGTTTTGTGGTGAGTAAGATTGAATCCAGGCCCTCGTGTATGCGAGGCGACGCCACACTGCTGAACTGCCTCCAGGCCTCACAGATACATCCTGGCTAGCTAGCAGGCAACTCCATGTTCCTGAAGAGTTTTTTAAAACTATTTTTCCAAGTTTCATTAAAAAAATTAAAGGTTGGGGAGATAGCTCAGTTGGTACCTGCTTAACTGATGCAGTGCACGCCTTTAGTCCCAGCACTTAGAAGGCAGAGGCAGGTGAGTGTCTGGGAGTTTGAGACCAATCTGGTCTAGGCCAGCCAAGTCTACATTGTGAGATCCTATCTCAAAAAAAAAATCATAAAGACCTGAGTTTGATCTGTAGGACCCACATTTTAAAAAGCCAGACATGGTGGCCCATGTTTGTAATATCATTGCTGGGGAAGGCGAAGACAGAAAAGGTCCCTGGGGTTTGCAGTCCTCCCTGGGCTGAATCAGTGAACCCCACATCTCAGTCTCAAAAACATAAGGCAGACAGTGCCTGAGGCATGGCACCTGAGCTTAACCTCTGGCCTCTCACACCTCCATATCCCTATACCCCCACACCTCAGAAATAGAAACACTAAAAACACACAGAGAAGTACCTCAGAGTGTTCCAGAAGCTGTCGACAGTCCGCTATTCTGCATGTTACTGAATACCATCTTCCATTGTAGAATTTCATAGAGACGGATAATGAGGGCAATGGAATTCTTCGGCGAAGGGACATCAAGAATGCACTGTACGGCTTTGATATCCCCCTCACCCCAAGGGAATTTGAGAAGCTTTGGCAAAAGTAAGTGCATCTGCAGTGGGGGGCTATTCTGTGTGTCTGACCAATTCAATGCAGTTTTTCACCAGGGTCTCAGGGAAAGTGAGCTGGGGAATGGGTTTCTTTGGTTGCATCGGATCCTGTGTCCTGTGTCCTCCTTCCTGGTAGAAAGTGGCTGTGGCTGTGGGTGGACACACCAGTCCTTAGGCCTCTGAAGACTTGGGTAGTCCCCAGCAGCAGTACTGAGTGGAGAGGTTTGAAGAGTCATAGTTCAAGCTCCTGGTTTCTCTGCAGCAGAGAAAGAAATCACAGTCCCACCAGCTCTCAGGGAGCTCCTTCAGCATAGATGACAAAGGTGAAGGCAGTTTGCCCATTCCTGGAGGGGTGGCAGTCTGTGCTCACAAGCTGTTTATTGAGGAAATAGCGAACCTTGACAACTTGGAGCATTTTCTGGAGGGTTGGGGGGCAGCTCTTAAACTGGAATAGGATCTGATGCAAGGGCCATTTTTCAAATCATTTTAGACTTAGCTGATTTGAACCAGGCCCCTGTATTGATGTCTTAGTTTCCAGGATGCTAGCATTGCAGTGTGCTCTGAGCTAACAGTATAGTGAGCTATGAACTCTGGTTCAATCTTTGATTGACCTCTTTCTTCAGTACATGCTGGTCAGCCCTCAGGTCCCCAAGATATGTGCACCAGCATCGCATGTCCATTTGGGGTCATGCTCACTGAATACTATATTCCATTTTGAGCTTTTCACCTGCCCATGGTGGAAGCCTTAAATGCAGGCGGGGTCTAGAACTGGGTAGTCTGTTTTCTGCCTAACTGACAAATGCAGCTTGGAGTTACTTCCATTTTGAGCTTTTCACCTGCCCATGGTGGAAGCCTTAAATGCAGGCTGGGTCTAGAACTGGGTAGTCTGTTTTCTACCTAACTGACAAATGCAGCTTGGAGTTAATACCTGGGAGGCCGGTACTTCATGTGTTCAAAGGTAGAGAGCTCACGGTGGTATCTGCTGTATGGGATATATCCTCAGAAGGGGCCATTCAAGTGCAAGAGTATCCAGGACTGTGTGCCTAAAGTATCCAGTGGGGACAGAAATTCTGGCTGCATTCAAGGAACAGAGACAAAGATGTCAGAAGCCTAAAGGGGATCATGATGTTCATTGGGGATCAGGAGCCAGAGGAAAAGCTGAGGAAAGAGGGCTACACAGTGATCCCCAGATTTCACCTCAGCGTCAGGGTCCAGAGGAAATCAGGGCATCTCTTACAGATCACAAAACTGTCTCCACCCCAATAAGAGCCATATCTGGGTACTGCCATAGAAGCTGCTAGAGTACCAGTTGGCACTATCAGGAGCCGCCACCACCGTCCCAGCAGGACTCTGATCTTATCTGTCACCTGTTGGTCTGGATCTTCTTGGAACAGCAGGGTGGGGCACAGATGTCCTGCAGAAGGATGAATAAGGAGAGCTATGGGGTGGGTGTTGCTTTTCAGACAACTGCTGCTGGAAGCAAAGACAGATAGTAGGACTTCCAGAGAGGAGGAGATGTGGCCATGCATGGCAACTGAACTCCATGAATGCCAGGTCACAGTCGACCTTGTCCTGAGGACCAAGAGACCAGTAGAAAATCTGGATAGACCCACATTCTAGAAAACTCCCCGGGCTGCAGGAAGGAAGGGAGTTGCAGACCAGCCTGGAGCTCTCCGTTCTAAGCAGGAGGAGGCTACAGGCTCCCCAGGAGGAAAACTCCCCGGGCTGCAGGAAGGAAGGGAGTTGCAGACCAGCCTGGAGCTCTCGGTTCTAAGCAGGAGGAGGCTACAGGCTCCCCAGGAGGAAAAGGGGAGGGAAGGAGATAGGGTTGAGGATTCAGGAGGTGTAGTACCAGCCTCTGGCAGCCTGGAAGTGAGATAGTATGAGAAGGCAGCAGCTCCCAGGATGTGGTGCACAGAGCAGCCCACACACTTAGCCACAGGCTCTACCAGGGACAGTGCAGGGCACTGTGCAGTGCACGTGGAGAATACAGGCAGGCAGAACAGCTAGCCAAATGGAAATTCAGATTAGAAAGGTCTGGCTGTTCAGGTGAGATCAAGGAGAGCAGACAGCAGGCATTCGGACTGGATGTCACTTCTTTATCCCATACCCCTTCCCCTCCCTGAAGATTCTCTCAGAGCTGCAGATAAAAACAAGCCAGCTCTCCACTTTTGCAGCAGGAGGTGCTGTAAGCAGTGAGGATGCCCCCTCAGGAATTCTCAGGGCATCAGCAGTCTCCTCCAGCTATCCTAACACTATCTTGTACCCAGAAACACAGTGAGACAGGTGAACCCCAGGTTTGACTGACAATGTAAGGGAGGCAGTGTACCCCACTGCTCCTGATACTATCAGGGCCTAGGACCTCTGGAGCAGCTTGGGCCCACATGATGCCTTCCAGCTCAGGGAGTCGGGGTGTGTCTAAACGATGTCTGGATGTCTGCCAGAAGCAAAGAGGAAAGTGGTGCAGGTCTTCTGAAAACCAGACTCTTAGAGAACACAACAGATCCAGGCGGGAAAGGCTTTCAGCATCCATTATTCACTCAACACTTACTTGAGCCTATGAAGGGCACTTCCCAGTGCCGTGGATTAGCCTGGAAGGACATGATTTAAGCTGTGGAGATAAATTAATAAACTGACCCCAAATCTCAGTGCTCAGGCTCCTCCATATGTCCCTCTTTACCCAAACTCCACAGTGTACCTGGCTATTGAGGACATCCCCTTCCCAGGAAGTGAGGAAGACTCAGCCAGCTTTTGTGGGCACCTTCAGCATCTCTATGGGTGCTTGCCCAGCAGATGGGAACTGTAGAGCTGGAGGGTCACACATGGGCAGCAGGCTGCTTACCAGGGTTGACAAACAAAGGACTGCTGCTCACTGAAACCAGCTCTGGAGCTGTGAGCCTGAGCTCCCAGGAGCAGCCTGCATGAACAGAAGCTTCAGTAAGCTACTGAGGTGTGCTCACTTTCAGTCACTCGAGGCATTGTTTGGCTCCTGAAGTTCCCAGCCAAAAGGCAGCTCTAGGACAGGATGCCTCAGCTGAGTCTAAATGGCAGCCGTTGAACCCAAGAAGCCGGGCATGGGGGAAGAGTGTTCATGAGCAGAGCTTCTGGAAGGAGCTGAGGAGGTGCCACTTACATGGAAACAGCCTAAGATCTCAGGGCCCACAGGGTGGGGTGGGGCCTCCCCTGGAGTGACACTGGCATTCTGAGGCATCCAAGGCCTCATTTCATCAGGTGGGTCTCAGCTGACTTAAATCCAAAAGCAACTTCTTGGGAACTGAAGAAAACTTGTTGGATGTGCTGTTATGGTAGAAGAGAGGATGCAGTAAGGAAAAGCCGCCAAGTCAGAAGTTCTGGGAAGACCAGTGGGCATGGAAGACCACCAGCATGTATGGAGACCAGCCAGAAGGCCCCACCTGGAAGCTGGGAGGCACCCAATGCTAGTTTATGCTCAGTCCTGACAGGGTCCTATGTCGGGACTCATATAAAAGAGTGCTTTACAGTATGGTGCTGTGTGCCAGTATTCAAACCTAACCAAGAACTCTGAAACAGAAGCCAGGCTGTAGGCCGTCACTCCTGTTCTTCGTTACCAGGAAATGAGGTTGCTCCTGTCATCACTGATGGCAGTGTGAAGCCTGGATACCCCAGAGTGACATCTGGACAGAGTGTGCCTCAAGATGGAGAGACTGAGTGAGCAAGGCCTGCAGCTTAGAAAAGAGGATTGGCTGGGCAGAAACCTGTCACCCACAAGGCTCAGCCTGGGAACCCTGCCACAGTCTTGAAGAGTGAAGAACTCCAGCAGGCGCAGAAGGAGCCTGTGCCCCATGGCTCTGTGCAAAGCTAGAGCACTATACCCAGGAGAGCAGCGGAGGTGGCCTGGCACAGGATGGGGCCTACATCAGAGGCCACCTCACCTGCAGTTCTGTCAGGATTTAATAAATGTGCCTGCTGGATACCAGCATGGGAAGTTGGCCACTTTTCATTCTAAGAACGACTGTTAGAGCGATCAGACCACTCTCTAGGATGGCTCCATAGAGAATTCCTCCCATGCTAGCCGCACAAGTTTCCTGGTTCCTCTCTGTGTGGTCTGGGTCACCTGCAGGCCATGTCTCATAGCCCTGACCAGGCCCTTTGCCTCTGGTCAGTGGTACTCAAAAGTCCTGAAATACATGCAAGAGTCCAGTGTCCACAGAGCACGAAGGCCTGGCTCTCAGCAAATCTGAGTGATGGATGTGCATGTTTTCAGGACCATGTGTGACTGATCACAGTACACACCAAATGGGCAGTCACCTGCCTGTATCACGAATTCATGGCCACTGCTGTGTGTAAATGCAAGCTTTTATGGGGCCTCTGCTCAGGACACGTTTTCCTTGGCACATCTGTTGCGCAGCCATTTTAAAATTCAACCTTTATAGGCAGTTGGTTTTTTTTTTAATGTTACACAGAGGATTGCATAATGAAGGGTGAGGTTATGTAAGCAGAATTAGCTCTATGATTATCCACATTCATAGCAATATTTTTTTTTGCCACTGTGCAATCTGCTCTTCCATGTCTCTGTGATGAGAAGAGCCTGTTTGTGATCTTCATTAATAAGGTAATTAAGAAGTGCCTTTTCATTCAGCCCAAGTGTCACAGCAGAGAGCAGGCTGTGGGGGAAATCTGTGCCTTAGAAGTACACTGCCTCCATCTGGCACACACACACACACACACACACACACACACACACACACACACACACACACGAGTCGCATGGCCGCAGCAAGCCTGTGAGTTGGGAGCAATAGGCAAGATAAAGTGGTGCCTGGGGAAGCTTGCATGCTCTAGGAAATATGATCTGGACCCAGCACCTCATAGAGCCTACCCTTGGCTTGCAGCCAGCAACAGCAAGTGCAGACCCTGTCTGGATGTCCCCATAAGCACTAAGTGTCCTTCACTAGCCCCTAAGACTCAAGGGGAGGCTGGGATCATGAGACTTTAGACCTGGTAGGATGGACAGGTTTCCCCTGGGGTGGACCATGAGAAGGATGGGTTATTGACACTCTGTTGGCAGCCCTCCTGTGGGAATGGGGGCCCTGAGAATACTGTTGGGGAGTGTCTTACTTGAGTCACATGGTATATCACTCTGGGTCAGACTAGGTGCAGCCCTGAGGCTAGACAGGTGATTTGTCTGTGCTTTGTTTTATTTATTTTTTAGATTTACTTATTTTACATGTTTGAGCGTTTTGCCTGCATGTATGTATATGTGTCCCACATGTGTGCCTGGTGTCCTAGGAGACAAAAAGAAGGCATCAGATCTCCTAGAAGTAGAGTTATGGGTGATTCTGAGCTGCCATATGGATGCTGAGAATCAAACCCAAGCCCTCTGGAAGAGCAGCCAGTGTTCTTAAGCATTGAGCTACCTCTCCAACCCCATGTGCATTGTTTTGAAAGTAGCACTCGCAGGTAAAGGCAGGCTGTGCTTTCCTGGGTTTAGAGTATGAAGGTCACACTAATCATACACATCTGGAAAGGGCTTGTGGGCTATATTCATAAGTGGTAACATGCCCACAGTGCAGCTGTCCTGAACCTCTACCCTGAAGGGCTGCCATGGCTCCTGGGAGTTAGTAGGGCCTTGATAGAAGTCCCAGGGTACCCTGAACTGCCTTGGTTTATGGAAATAAGTCACTCTCTGGTGACTTCCTCACCTATGTCAGAGACAGTTGTATTGGCTGAAGGGAAGCTGGAGGTTCACAGAGCACCAGGTGACCAGAGGCTAAGAGGCAAGGCAAGAGATGTATCTCTCACAGGCATCCAGGCAGGCCTACTAGCTTAGGGGCAGGATGATAGCCTATTGACTCCTGGCATCCCTGCATATTGGAGCACAGAGCTCACACCCCTGCTGCAGCTGCTGGCTCTGCCTGTGAGGAGTGTGAGCTCTTAGAAGAACAAATAGCTCATTGGCAGGGCACAGTGTGACCATTCTGGGGTGTCTCTTTGGGTACCACATAGAGCAATGCATCCTAAAACCAGTGTCATCCCCTCAGGGGAATTGGGCTTGTATGCCTTATATGGAAGATCCTGCCCCATGTAGCTCCTAAATTAATCTAGGAAAGCCCACACCTGTAGTATATTTCACTGTTGAGCTGTGGACCAAGATCTTTCTGGTAAAAACAAATGCCTCAAAAAGAAGAAGAAAATGGTCAATTTGCCTTAAAATTTTTTATTGAAGTAATTCTATTCTATGTGAATAGCATCAGGAGATAAAACCTCCATTATTCCCTTTTTAATGAATTATAATTCAGAAAAATCTTGATAACAGAAAATGACTTAAAAGGCACAATGCACAGTTCTTATCTTGTTTTCCTTCTAGGCGCTCTCGCTGGGTATGTGTAATTGGCGTCTCTTCAAAGTGGAAACGGGGGCTTTTAACATCCTTGAATCAAGTGGTATTCATTTATTGAGGCTTCAAGATATAGAATATGCTTCCTGAAAGATTTTTTTCTAACCCTGAGTATAGCTCCTTTTACACCGAGGGTGCTGAAATAAAAATGTGTGCAAAGGGGGTTTCAGTTTTCTGGATTTGCCACTGCGTTTCCACAAACATGGCAGTTGTGTGATTTGGGTCCATTCTCATAGTTCAAGTCACTCTGGTGACCAAGTCAATGTACTTGTAGGTCACCCAGAGGTCCTGTTAAGTATAGGTGCAGAGAGGATCAGGGGCACAGGCTAAGACTGGATTTGTGATGAGTCTGTTGGGCTTTCTTATACCTAGCAAGGAAGAAAACTTCCCTCCAAATTGATGTGGTCCTGGCCCCTGAACGCCAGCCCACCTTCCACGCCACTGATGACAGCATCGTTTTTGTTTTTTAAAGCTACGACATCGAGGGAAGGGGTTACATCACATACCAAGAGTTTCTGCAGAGACTAGGCATTCGATACTCCTCGAAGACCCACCGACCCTACAAGGAAGACTATTTCAACTTCCTGGGTCACTTCACAAAGCCTAAGCAGATCCAGGAAGAAATGCAGGAGCTGCAGCAGACGATTGATAGGTATGTGTGCCAGCATTGGGCTGCTTCTGCATTCTGTCCTCATTCACCCAGACAGTGAAGGCTGCTGTGACAGGACTCCTGTGAGGCTATAACATCATGCATCACTGTAGAGCCTAGAAATCAGCTCTGCCAAAGCCACAATACAGGAAGCTTTCCACATGTCTTTCCTCAGCCAGCCACACCTCGCGTGTGTTTTCATATTTTATTAGCCCCCCTCCCTTGAACACTGGCCCTTCCTGGTTGTGCACTGCATGGTGCCTGCACCCTGCTGTGTCCCATCAGAATGAAGGTACCACAGGATGTCTGTGATACCCCACAGGGTCCATGTAAACACCTTTAAATGAATGAATGAATGGCTGTGGTTTAACCCCCCACTTCTGCTTTGAGGATTTTCCCCCAGGATAACCCAGAGCTGCTTAGCAATTGCATTGGGTGACACACAGTGCTCCTTCGATGTCAGCAAAGGAAACACCTTCCCATCTTGAGTCAGCATGCTGGCCTTGGGGACTATGACCTAGTGGCAGCCTATTGAAACAATTGCTGGAAACCCTGGAATGCAAGTGACAATGGTCCACAGGCCATGAGAGTTTGAAATGTTTGCATGAATAGGTCAGGATGACTGTGTCTGAGCAAGGACAGGGAGATACTGAGTCAAGGCTATGTAGCTGGGTTATGGCTCCTCTTGATTTTACCTGTGTGTGTGGCTGTCCCTTCCTTGTCCTTTCAAATAGTGGGACTCAGCTCTCATCCCCACCCATGTCAAAGAACTTCCAAAGAAAGCAAGGAAGACACAGAGCAGAGTGGGAATGAGTTGGGTTTAAGAGGCAAGCAGGTGGGATTTACCCCTGAATTATGTGGAAGTGACTGCACCACAGAAAATGCTGGCAGATAACTGAGTTTGTGAAATTCAGTGTAAAACATGCACAAGGTTGGTATAAATCAAATATGCCACAAACTGATGAAAAGTGAAATTTATCTTCAGCAGACAGGGCTGGCCTCATTACCCACGAGGGTCTTCACTTTCTTCTCTCCCCCCATGTGTGAGTAATGAGGCTCCTTAGCCCTTCTGAGCACACGCGCTTTCTCTCCTCTGTGCTGGTGACAGTGCAGAGATGAGCTGAAGACGTGAGTGCTGTGTGTCTCTGTGTTTTCATCCTCAGGACTAGATAATTCACACACACTTGCCTGACTTCCTGCCTCAGTGGCACCATCTTACCAGAGAAGACAAACTCCTGATCAGCTCCATTTTCTAAAAAATAAAATCATCTTGGCGCAGGCATGGTGGTGCCTCCTAATAATGCCAGTGCTGAAGAGGGGGTGAAAAGTGGGTACTTGGGGCTCACTGGTCAGCTGGTTTCAACCTGGAGAGTTGCAGGACAGGAAGAGACCCTGTTTCAAAACAAAGTGATGGCTTCTAAGAAACAACTCCCAACACCACCACTTGCGGGCTCCATGTATACCTGCACACACACACACACACACACACACACACACACACACACACACACACACACACACACACTCAGGATACTGGCTTGCAGGAATCATTAAATAATGACTGCCTGTCAGGGTGACTGGCTTTCTGAACTCAGATCAGATGGAGTAATAGATTTTTGTCTTTACCACAAGGAGTTAATTTTGCTAAGAGTGCCCTGGTGCATGCTGAAGGCAAGTGAAGGCTTCTATGGTCCTGTATTTGTGCCCCAGGCCTTTATTCTGGTCTTAAGAATGAGACTCAGAAAAGCCACAATGAACAGCCACCCAGCACAGGCCCTTTCTAGGACCCACATGGAGAGGGGGGCAGCTAAACCCAGCAGAGAAGGACATGAGCGGGACTCGATGACTACAAGGTCACAACTGGGTCCTTCTCAGCCTCACTGGCCAGAGCCAGAAGAGGACAAGACCCCAGAAGAGCACTGCTGCTCAGTGTGGGCCAACAGTAGCTCTGGTTGGCAGCATTCTTCCATCTCTGCTCCAAGCCCTCATTTACTCAGTGCACATGTTTGCTCTGAAAGGGAAATAATTGCTGCTCACAAGACAGTCCAAGAAATGCTGAATGCCTCAATTTTCTAAAAATATGTATCTCCAAAAACTGTTTAGAGTCTCCCCACTTCCATTTGCTTTCATTTTGGAGAGCTAAGTGGGATAGCATTGTTGTGGTGACAAGCGGGGACTCTGTAGCATGGGGCTGGGTCCATAGGACGCTGTAAGCAACCCAAGGCAGGTGCTGTTGGTTGCACTCAGGACACCCGGCGGCATGCTCACCTGGGTCAGATGCCAGTGTCATGACCCCCCTGCAAGAGGGGAGGCCCACAAAGGAAGGGCCTGGACTTCCACATGGCTTCTGCCAAGCGCCGCTATTCCTGCTGATCTAACCAGTGCCTCACTGCAGCTTGCCTCTCCTGTGTTTGGACAGTTTTGGTCAGGGGTTTGTTTCCAGGCTTGCTCAAGGAGCCATTCCCACAAATACCAAGTGGAGATGATGGACAAGAGTCAGAACAGATTCAGTGCTTACCATGGATAACCCATTCTGTCTGTCCCCTGAGGGACAACCGAACCAAGATGGCACCTGAGCTCACGAGGTAGGCATTTCTCTCAGTGGTGTTGGAGAAAAATTTTCAGATACATGGAAGAGTGAAGATGACAGAGTTTAGACAGCCATGCTAGGTAGAGGAGGCAGGAGAAGGCATGTGCAGTTGTGCACGTGTGTGCTGGCCATGTGGAGGCCAGAGGTCAGCCTCAGGTACCTCAAGTGCCGTTCTCCACGTTCTTTGTGGCAAGGCCTCTCAGTGACCTGGAGCCTGCCAATTAGGCTGGGCTGCCTGGCGAGGCCCAGAGATCTGCTGGTCTCTGCCTTCCCAGTGCTGGATTGCACACCAGTCTCACCACCCCTGTCTTTCTCACGTGGATACTGGAGTACAGCACACACTCTACCAAGGGATCCCGCTCCACACTGCTCTAGTCCACTGAAGTTGAGAAAGTCTTCCTCAAGAGTAAATCATAGAGACCAACTGGAACACAGGCTGCAGAAACAACCCATAGTCCACACTGTCTGTCCTCATCTACCTACTGGGCTGTGGCCCCTGGCAGGGTCACTGAGAAGGTCCTGTGTGTCAGTATACTGTGGGACGCTGGTTCCTGCCTTGTGAGTTACACACAGGTGGCGGCTGTCTTTCTAGAAGTGGAAAGGCCTCATCAGAAGAGGAAGCCGGGCTGGGCCAGGCTGGTCCAAGAGACAGCTCAGTGGTTCAGAGTGCTTGCTGCTCTGCCAGGGGGCCTGAGTTCTGCTCACAGCACCTGTATCACGTTAAGCACAACTGCCTGTAACTCTAGCCCCAGGGATCTGGCACCTTTCTGGCCTCCAGAGGGCACCCGCTCTCAGGTACACACACTCATATTTAGGCACACATCACGTTAAGCACAACTGCCTGTAACTCTAGCCCCAGGGATCTGGCACCCTTCTGGCCTCCAGAGGGCACCCCCTCTCAGGTACACACACTCATATTTAGGCACATGTGTGCACATAATTTAGGAATTGTAAAACATAAATACTAAATTATAAAACAATAAAATGGAAAGGTGAGGTGTCCCAAGATGTTCTTTGCTCACAATACAGACAGGATCCTGGGCCTGTCCCTAGCCCTTGTTCACTGTCCTCCTCCAGTCCTGTCACCTTGATGCTGGCCAGCTAGTATCCCCACTCTGGTGTTTAGAATGACAGCCCACTGCCACTATGGGGCTTGGTGGTCCCTTTCACCGGCTCTTTTTCTTTCCTACCAGCCCACTGTGCTGTGCACATGCCCTCTCCATATCCCTAGACTTGTCCCCTCTGTGATCTTAGTTCTGCTGAGGATCCTATTTGAGGTCATTGTGTGCCCAGCACCCACAGCAGCACATGTCACATAGTAGGTGCACACAAGAATTTATTGAGGGTAGAGCCATTTCTCTTACCTGCCATATCCTTGTGTTGGATTCTTGGTTCCCTTTGACAACCACCAACTCTAATGCAAGCACAGGGTGGGCATTTCTCCAGGGCAGTTTAGCTAATGACAGCAATAATAAAACTACAGTAACAGAGGCTGATAGCTCTTCTCAGGGACACCTTTTCATGTAAACATTGCCTGCAAAGCACCTTCCAAATTAGCTCTTGGCTGAGCAATCAAGTTGTCACAGTAGAGTGGGCATCAAGAGTTGTTTTTTCTCCTGGCTTTAGGTGTCTGAGGTGGTTTCTCTTTCAGGGAGAAGCTCATGGACCATTATGAAGAGATCAGCAAGTCACTCAACATGCTAGAAAAATCTAAGACGGGCGCTGTGTCCCTCTGCAAGGTGCAGAAGGTGCTGCAGGACTGTGGGTATCCCCTGAAGGAAGAGGAGCTCATCTACCTTCTGAAGAGGTTGCTTGCCCTTCCCCCTGCTCTCTCCCGCTCCCTCCCCCCATGTGCCCCTCTCTGTACTGGGCTGGTATGTTGTTCTTTTTCCTTCTCTGTCTACTCAAGCAACCTTTGACCTTGAAGTGACCTCCACTTGTTGCTTTGCTGTTCTGTGTTTTAGCCAGAAGCAAAGAGACCCAGTTTGACAAGGGCTTAACTTCTCCCAGGGCCTAGTTCAGGGAAAGCAACAGCCCTTTTGCTGCTGCCACTGCCCCTGCCACTGCTTTCCACCCCAAAAGTCAGTAGCTCAAGGCTTTTAGATGGTGGCTTTGGAACAGAATGTGTCCTTTTCTAGATGGCAAGCTTATATCAACACTTCTTGATTTGTGTGTGTGTGTGTGTGTGTGTGTGTGTGTGTGTGTGTGTGTGTGTGTGTTTTAACCTGTAAACGTTGTTGACATCCAAGGAAGACATGGGCTTTAGTCTGTGTCTCCACTGTTTCTGCTCAATCAGCATCCCTCAGTTTCCACCACCTCACGCAAACACTCAGAATTTACCACTCAGTTGCTGAGCCTGACTCTGGGTGGTCCACCAGCAGGATCTACCTTCCGGTGACCAGCCATCACTTTTCCTTTGCTACCTAGTACTATCCCCGGGGTCATGTGATTACTTTTCCTGTTTGCTTAGTGTCCTGGTTCCTTGTCACCACTAATAAATTCCCAGCTCACCCTGTGACAGATGTCCCTATTCAGTGTGTTCTGCCTCCTAAGGCATGCTATTTTGTGTTCTGTGATTTTTGGAAGTTTTCTCGTCTTAGCTCATTAATGATTTCCTTTCCTTTGTTCATTTTGAAGCCTCTGTTGCTGAACACTGAGCCACGCTGACTTAATCCCTCAAGGGTTCTGATCTTTCTCAATTAATTCGTATCTCTTACTTTTCTGGGAGAGTGTCCTGGTTCTCACTTCCCACTCTTCTTGCTCCCACTGTCTTCCAGTATTCAGTGCTTTGGTTTGTCCTTTAAGAGTCATTGTCTTACAGAAAGGCATCCTGTTCTTAGTTCATGGACATCCAGTCTCATTTGTCAGAAATTAACAAACTGGTTTTCAAAGCTTTCTTGGTGTGTGTGTGTGTGTGTGTGTGTGTGTGTGTAGAGGGGCATGTTTCAGAGGGTCAAGGCACTTGCTGCCAAGCCTGACCATCAGAGTGCTCTGGATTCTGGAAGGAAAGAACAAATCCCCACAAGTTGCCCTCTGACCTTTACATGCAAACTGTGGCACATGAACACGCATGTACATATGGACATATGATAAATACATAAATAAAAATTTAAAGTCTCTTAAAAACAGCTTTCTTTGCCTGAGAAATCTGTCCCCAGTGTTGCATTTGTAGTTTGACCTGATGGACCTTGGGAGCTTGTTTGGAGGTTCTCGCAGGGCCGCGCAGCTGCTAGTTTACCCTTGACCCATCCTCCTCCATTCAGGGAAGGTTGTCCTCTTTGACCAAGTGCCCAACTTCAGGAGGGATGGACATGAAGTGGTGAGGGAGGAGGGGGACACCCACCTAGCCATTCAGATCAGCTGAATTAGCCATGTTGATCAATGAGGTGACATTGCCACAGCCAGATGGCCCTCACGTCCCTCAGTGTTGCATTTGTACCAGTCCTTCATGTTGGACGTGTCTTTTAAAAGTGTGCTTATGTTACTGGGGGATTCTGGGAGCAGAGTAGAAGGAAGATCCTCAGAGATGTGAGTCTGTCATGGTCCAAACTATAGGGGAACCTGGCACATTGTCTCCTTTGGGTCCTCAATGTCAGCACCTCTAAATTTTTCCTTGCGTTGCTCAGATTTAATGAAGAATAGAGCATTGACAGTTTAGACTGAGGGGCTCCCAGGTAAACTTGAACTTGAGACAAACAGTGCAGTCTGTGTCCCATAGTACACTTGGGATGTGTGTTAAAAAAAAAAAAAAAAAAAAAAAAAAAAAAAAAGGAAAAAGGAAAAAGAAACGTGTGTGTCTGAAATTCTATTCCTGTGGATCCCAGACCCTGTGATAGGACTGTAGAATCAGTCAGTAGACTGACCGGAGCAAGGGCCCAGTATATCCAGCTCCCATTCCCAGTTCCCTTCTGAAGGACAGCTGCCCTAGATTCAGAACTTGAGATCTTTGACCACTCAAATGCTCTGGCTCCCACTCCCGTCTCCCATGTGACTTCTGATAAAGATTCTGATATGCCTCTTGCTTTTATTCTATGTAGGAACACTTTGCCCTTCCTTCTCTGTCTTTGGGGTCCTGTGGCTTGATTCTGATATACCTGGGTATAGGTCAGTCTGTCAGCTTGCATCTGTTGTGCCTAGGTATAGATTTGTCTGTGTTTGCCTCACTTGATGTTCACCAAGCTTCCTAGACCTGGGGCTTGGTTTCTCCCGTTTCTTCTGGAAGTCTCAGCCATTATTATGAAATGCAGGCTATGCCACCATAGTTGTTCCTGCTTCTGCTGCAGGGCCCCTGCCTGTCCTGTAGGCCTATGTGTCCCTCTCTGTTTGTCCAGCTCCCCCCCTTATTGCCTGGGGTCTCCTTTCCCTCATAGCTTATGCTAGTCATGGCTGTTTTAACTTCCCTGTTCCTGGTCACACCATGATATGGTGGGGGTACTTGCTTTTCTCTTCAGACTGTATCCTTTCCTGCCTTCTAGAACGGTATATGGCGGTTACTGAAAACCGTACATGCTAAATGGGTAGCAGTAGGAAGGGAGGCTGGTGTCTCTGCCTTGACGTGACTCTGGACAGAAGTTGAGCTGGCTGGTATTGCCTGTGCCCACCAAAGCTGAGGGCTGCAGGTTGCTCACACCGTTTGTCTCTACTTTTGTTCTGGGTTTACCTATGAAGTACTTTGAAATAGTTGGCATCTGTGATCCTTCCAACTTGGGCTGTGGTGAGGACTTGTTGGGAAATGGTTGAGTTCTATAGCATGATGAGGCTGAGAGGCCTGCGGCCCTGGGCTGCCCACCCTCAGGCCTTTAAGCCTTCTCTCCATAGGCAAGATAGGACATCTGTCAGGGCTGCAGGTGGCTCAGCTAGGATAAGCACATGAAAACCATGACCCAGGCAGTTCTGGTACGTTCACAAGGACACTCTTTAACATTTCCAGAACATGAAGGGCCATTCTCAAGTCTCCAGAAAAAGAATCAGGCAGGAGCCCTGAAGGTGAAGCCCACAGAATGCTGGGCCCTGAGACTGGGTCACATGACTGCCTTGCACACTCAGCCTCTCCAGTGGAATCCTGTCATCCCTGAGTCTGTGCTTGTGCCTGTCTTTCCAGGTTTCAGGGCTACCTTTTCCCTGTGACCTCGCATCTCTATTGGGTTCAAGAAAAGCCATAGGCATCCAGTGTGTCCAGTTTCTTCTTGTTGGACTGAAGACCATGCTGTTGAGTCTGCTCGCAGCCCAGCCTTTGAATTCCTTATTTCTGTTTTCCCTTTGCTGGAGTCCCTCCTGAAGTAACTTCCCAGGAAAGGATAGACAAGAACTACATCTCCTGAGTCATTTCATTCTGGATTGTTTTTATTCTCCCTCATACAGATTGTTAGCTTGTATGCACCTGGAATCCAGGAAGAAAATAATTTTCCTTTCTGGTTTTAAAGACACTGCTTCATTATCTGCAAACTGCAAACTGTAAGAAGCTTATCGCATGTGTGTGTGTGTGTGTGTGTGTGTGTGTGTGTGTGTGTGTGTGTGTACCTGTGTCTCTATTGTGTGTGCATGTGCATACTGTGAGCTGTATGCATGTTTATGTTGTGTATTATAGTGTATGTTTATATATAGTGTGTATTATAGTATATATCGTGTTATGTGGTATGTGCATGCATGTATGTTTATGGTATGTGTGATGTGTACTGCATGTGTGTTTGTGTTACGTGATATATGTATGCATGTGTGTGCATATGTGGTGTATATATGGTGTGTGCACGTATGTAGTGTATATATGCATATATGTGGTGTATATATGGTGTGTGCATGTATGTGGTGTATATATGCATATATGTGGTGTGCTCATGGTATGTATGTGTTGTATCATCTGTGTGTGTATGCTGTTTGTATGTGTGAGTTGTATGTTTGAGGTATGTGTGGAGTGTGCACATATGTTGTACACTATGTGCAATACATGGAAATAGAGGGCCATACTATCTTGAGCTGCTCACATGTTCTCTCCTTTCAGAGTCTTCTTCTCACTGAATCTATTTCCAGCTGAATAAGGATTGTTATGTTCAATGAATAAATCATGGCAGATAAATAATTAGTTAAATAGTTCTGAGAGAGTCTTGTTAAATTGTAGTTAGACTTGATACTTTTATAAACAGCATAAAAGACCTCAGAGCTTCTGCGTTCCACCTTTCAATGGGTGATCAACTTTCCTGTGTGTTGAAGCCTTAATAAGGATCCATCACTCAGTCGCTTGTTCCTCCTCAAAGACCCCTTGATGATAAACATCTTGGCTATTGGTAATTACATGTAGATTATTCTTTCCCGGATCCAAAATAGACTTTTCTAAACCCTAGCGAGGAGGTTCGCATATGCATTTGCTGCTTTATTACTGCATTTTAATACTGCACTGGCAGCTCCTCCCTGCACATGAAACAGCACTGATTGTCTGTCTCCTTGGGTCCCTGTCACATGATCCATGCCAACACAAGCAGACTGGGCTGCTCTGCAGCTGCAACTTGCAAAGCTAGGCTCTTGCCTCTTCTTCAGAAGCACCCAAGTCACTAGCAACTTCTCTCTGCTCAAGCTTCCAAGCTTTCCTACTCTGATACTTGCTCTCATCCAGCTGACAGAAAGTCCAGGCACTCAAGGGCCCCAAGAACTTAGTCACAGAAGCAGCAACCTTTTGTTTGTGTGCACACATGTGTGCAGGTACACATGTACATGCGTGTCCATACACATAAATGTTGCCACCCTTCTTTCTTCCTTCTTTCTGTCTTTCTTTCTTCTTTTCTCTCTCTCCTTCCTTCCTTTTTTTTTTTTTTTGAGACTGGGAACTGGCTTATAACTCACCAAGTAGGCTATGTTAACCCGTCTCCTCCACCTCCCCACCTCGCTGAAAGAAAGAAAGAAAGAAAGAAAGAAAGAAAGAAAGAAAGAAAAAGAAAGAAAGAACAGGAGTATAGGATCAAATTCAAGTCCTTGTTATTCAGCAAGTGCTTTCCCGTCTGAGCCATGTTCCCAGCCCAGAGCTGGGAGCATGAAGGCATGAAACATTACTCTGAGTCACTAGTGTCTTTAATAAGTACACTGGGTGTTTGTAGGAAATTCTCCAACCTTATTCAAGTTATTCTTTCGGAATTTAAAGGGAATTGTTTCCCAGTCTGAGTTGAGGACACAAAGGGGCTGTCATTGTTGCATGGATGTCCTTGTGGGGACATATACTGAGATGGAATTTTTATTGAGGAAATATTAAGCTAGATAGGTTTTGCACAATACCCTTGGAGAGCTTTTGGCTTGACAACCTCATTTCAGTCAGACTTGGGGAAGAATTTAGTGTGCCTGCCTCAGTTCTCCCATCCTTGTACTGTCCCTGGTGCACTCCTCTTCTGAGTCCCACACCTCTCTGCACACTCCGTAAGGCCACCGCCATGATGGGAACCTCCTGTCCAGCTTGTAGCTCCTATGGCTGATGCCCAGTTAGTTCCGCTATCCTCATTAGGCTGTCCTTCCACAAATTCCCCAGAGGTGGCCCAGCATCTTTCACCCAACAACCCTTGCTGCCTCCTGCTCTTTGAAACTCTGAGCCTCAGTACGCAGCCATCAGGTCTTGGGTCTTGGGACAAGGCAGCCCATGGCCTTACCTCTGGGCAACCCTCAGTCTTGTGTGTCATAGCCCTCACCTTGTTCCTCTTTGTGGTGGCATTCACGTGTGCACATCAGAAACCAGCACAAGCGGGCATGTGCCAGCAGGAAGGGCACCCTCCTCTTCAAACCATTCTCTTCCCCACACTGCCCCTGTATTCTGCAACTGTTTGTTGAATGAATAAGCAACTTTTTTTTTTTCAATGAATCTATTCTTTTCTTTTGTGGGGGAAGCTTGAGCATCAGTGTGCATAATAATTGCATCGATCCCCTCGACTTCTTGAGAGCACTTGAGACCAATAAGACAAGCAAAGCTCCGCCAAAAGAAAAAGAAAAAGAAGAAAGCATACCGCCACCAATCAACTTTTCCAAGCTGAACCCTGAGGAGGTGGTGAAGAGCGTGCAGGTGGTGGTGGACGCCTCCCAGCCTGCTTTGTTTAAGGTATGGTGGATTGCAAAGAGCCCCATCATGTAAACTCCCCTCCATTCCTCCAAGGGGGTCCAAGCCCTGCCCAGATGCTCCTCTCCTTAGTCTCCTGAGCATCTGCTTGGTCCAGATGAGGTTGCTGATTGGAGCAGCTGTGCCTCCCCAGTTACTCTGTAAAATATCACCCTGACTTTGCTCAGCCCATTTAGGTGGATTCAGCAAACACCAGGCAAGCTGAGGCCACAGGGCCAGGCAGAGAAGTAAGAGAGTCCAGGGTCAAGCTGACGCCACAGGGCCAGGCAGAAAAGACAGAGACCCGACCTCATACAAGGGATGAAATGAGGCTGACACCTTGGCCTATGCTCAGGCCTCCACTCTGGCACACATGTACCCACATTCATACACACAAGAATATTTTGCTTTAAAGGGCAGAGAGACTGGATAGCAGTGGCTCACACACCTCATGAACTCTCAGTGTGCTCAAGAAAGTGACCCATGGGGATGAGTGAAGTTAAAGTGATCTTCAAGAGGACGAACAGGACAGGGTGTGTCACAAAGATGGGAGTGAAGGAGACCAGAAAACCGTGGATCATCTGAGGAGAAGGGTGTTCTGCCACTCTCCCCTGGGTGACCCCTTTTGTATGATGTGGTACCTCATACAATATTGGAGCTGTCTGGTGTCTCTGGAAAGAATCATTTGGAGCTATCTTCCTGAAGGTGTCCCCAGCCTGATCCATAGGTAGCTGAGGTCAGCATATCAACCCCAGGTGACAACAGTCAGCTCAGACTAACAAATGCCAGAGGCCACTAGGACCATGTGCATGGGGTCCCCACCAGGAAGAACCCTAGCCTCCACACCAGGAGGGCTTGGCTTGCACTGTTGGAGGCTTTCAGAGCTTTGAGGGTGGACAGCCATGCTCCTGCTGCGGGGAGCTTTGGTAGGGTGATAACCCTCATGAGAATCCATGGATTTTTATCTCTCCTCAAGCAGAGCCTGCAGGTTGGAGTAACTCTGTTCTACAGGAGGGGAAACTGAGGCTCAGGTTGAATGAACTTCCCATAGCTCACAGGTCATTGGTAGCAGAGCTGTGAACATGTCTGGACATAGAGGAGGACCATTCCATGCCCTTCTTTTCCAAATCTGGGAGGCCTAAGGAGTTAAAGTTCTGGCTGGGCACACTGGCTCACAGCCATTATCACCTTGCTTGGGAGACTGAGGCAGGAGAATTGCTGCAGGTAATAGACCAGCCTAATCTATGTAGAAAGAACACTGCCCCTGGAAAATTTTGTAGAGGTGTTTTACTGATGTGTGAGTATCTATTGCTTACCAGAAACATCAAGTTCAGTCTCTTAGATTATAAAGCCCTCCTTGGCAGAGGCTTCCAACTTAGTAGATCCATCTGCTCTCTCTGTGTAAGGAGGTAAAACAGGCTCTTGGATCCAAAACTGAGGGGCAATGTGGAAAGATGCAGAAAGGTGGGTTTGGACTAACCATCTAGGAGATGCCATGGAACTTGGCCTCTCTCCTACAAAGCAGGCATGCCAGTATTCTCTCCATGAGGATTTAGCATCCCAGGTTATTAACCAGAAGTAAAGGGGAAGGCAGCTTTGCAATGCAGCACCCATGTGAGCTGTTGGAGGCCAGGTGTCCCCATGCTTGTCAGTTTTGGGACAGCCAAGTCTCCCAGTTTCTGCATATTGGCCCCTTTTTTCAGATTTTTTGGAAGCACCATGCAGAAACAGACCTCCATGTTTCAAGTCATGGTGCTTGTTTCTTCTTTGGGCCTCAAATGGCATGGCAAGCTTGGCATCTCTCAGGATGTTTCTGAAGCTGGGGACCATGGGCCTTGGGGAGGTGACTTCTGGAAAGCATTCTTTGTGTGGCATGAAGTTCTATAGCAGAGTACAGGAGGTGAGCTGTGGGGCGGAGGGGGCTGAGGGCAGGGAAGAGAAGGAGGGATGAGGCTGGTTCAGAACGGCCACCAGAAGGGACAGGGCATGCGAATACATCCATCCCTAAGTGCCACTGCAGATGCCACACACCTGTCTTGTTCCCAGACAACAGAGCATCCCTGCACCCTTGCAATGTATAGATGCCCTGTGTCTAGAGGGAGCCGGGCCCACATGGCTTCTCAGGTGTTCCCCCAGAATGTCACGGTGTCATCTCCCCACACCACGTGGCCTCTAGTATCCTCACAGCACAAACAGATCTTCTTCAGATGGCTGTGCACCTGGTTCCTGCATCCCTGCACTCACTCTCAGCCACCCTCGGCTAAGGTCACCTTTATGGAGAATGTGCTGAAGATGAGAGAGATCAGGACTTAGCTGAGCATCCCAGCCCAGGACCCAGAGTCAGGGACTGCCCCACTGTGCCCCATCTGCCCCCTGCTGTTCCCTGCTGGACCCTACTGGTCCCTGTTGTGCCCCCGCTGTGCTCCCACTGTGCCCTCTGTGCCCCTACTATGCCCAGCTGCCTCAGTGTTGAAAGGCTTTGTAGTATTTTGCTTACATCTATTTCTGCCCCCTGCTGTTCCCTGCTGGACCCTACTGGTCCCTGTTGTGCCCCGCTGTGCTCCCACTGTGCCCTCTGTGCCCCTGCTATGCCCAGCTGCCTCAGTGCTGAAAAGCTTTGTAGTATTTTGCTTACATCTATCCCCCACCCCACCCCCTCCTGCCTTGAGTTGTGCCTAAGGAACAGGGATCAAGAAAAGCAGGCTCAGGGGAGCTGGGCTTGAGGTTGCAGGCACATTAAATTTTTACTTTTGAAAACAGCATCTTAAGTCCACCACTTGATACAAACTTCGCAGTGCAGTAAGAATAAATGATCTTGTTTTGATGAATGGGGAAAAATGTGCGGATTGTTTATAGCATGTTTTTTCACCTTCTCAGTTGATGACTGCGTGTCTTGACCCTTGGTGTGTCACTATTACCACACGGCCCAGCCTGCAGTGTGTCAGGATGACTGCACGGTTTGGCTCGTGGTATGAGCACAGCCCCTCAAGCATAGGTCAGGACATTCATTTACCAGTTGCATTGCCAGCTCTTTTTGTGTGTGCTCGTTTGTTTTAGGCATTTTCTGCAATAGATAAAGAGGACACGGGGTTCGTGAAGGCTATGGACTTTGGAGATGTCCTGAAGAGTTTCTGTCAGAAGCTAACAGATAACCAGTATCATTATTTTCTGAGGAAATTAAAGATTCATCTAACACCCAACATACACTGGAAATACTTCCTGGAGAACTTCGACTCCTTCCTGGAGGAGGTAAGGTGGCGTCCTGCGGCGCAGCTAAAAGGGACAGCAGATTCAAGATGAAAAAAAAAAAAAAAACAACAACAACAACAAAAAAAAACCCAATAACTGTGAGGAGAGTGCTAGAATGCAAAAAAAAAAAAAAAAAAAAAAAAACAACAACAACAACAAAAAAACCCAATAACTGTGAGGAGAGTGCTAGAAGAGAAAGTGTATCCCCCCTTTGTGGGGAAGAATTTTCTTTTGTTTCAAAGAAGCCTGGAGCTTGCTTTTATCTGGTGGCTTTTGCCAGCCCAAAGGCTCTTAGATCACAGAAGATGATCTGTTGTCCAGAGAATCAAGGCCCACTGTGGCCAGACTGAGGGCTGCACCAGCGGAGATCCAGGCAGAGGTGAATGTGGCGGTGTGGTGGGTCCTGACAGACACACAGGTGGAAGGTGAACAGTCCCCTGGGATGACAGGGAGGGCATCATGAAGGGGCGATGGCAATGGCTGCCCACGCGGTTCTTCTCTGTCATCCCCGGAGAGTGACGCTGGATGTACTGCCACTTACTGCCAGCTTGCTTCTTGTGGCTGCAGAAGTGGGTCAGCATGACTGACAACAGTTCCAGCCTAGTTGAGTGAGTAGACGCTATTCCACACAGCACTGTGTGCTGAGGGATCAGGGACACGGCTTTCTGTGACCCCTGCCTTGGTGGAGGCAAAAATTTAAATGTGGAGCAATAAGGGTTCAGTAGATAAACCACAGAGCTCACCCTAGATGGGGCTAACTCTTTCCTGAGCTGGCTGCTCTGGTCCTTTCTTGATGTCCTTTCCAGTCATCTACCTATGTGTGACCATGTGTTGAATGCCCAAGTCCATTGTCCTTTGTCATGTATTGCAGATAAATCCCTAGAGAGGAGATGACCAGAGCAGGTGATTAGGTGCCACCTAATAATATGCCGATTTCATAGGCAAAGACTCTGGTTCAGAGATTCTGGTGATGTCCCCAGTGAGTGAATGCAGGCTGATGTGTGCACCCAGGAGGCCTGGCTTCCGGTCTCCCACTTGTGGAAGTCCTCCTGCCTCAACCTCCCAGTCTTGGGATTACAGTCATGAGCCAGCATGCCCAGTTTTCACTGAGGTTAATAGCTTGGCTTTAGTTCACTCACACAAGCTGTTATGAAAATAATCTCCATATTAAATGGAAATAGTCTCTGTCAAGAGCACACTAGTGTTCTTGTATGTTGGGTGTGTGTATGTGTGTGTGTGTGTGTGTGTGTGTGTGCGCGTGTGTGTGTGTGTGTGTGTGTGTGTGTGTGTGTGTGTGTGTGTTCCCACCCTCCTTCTGGGAGCATGCAGGTTATCTTGTGTTTCCTCCATGATAGGCAAAGCACCAGCCTTCGTCCCTGTGACACACATACATACATATACACATATGTGATGCATGCATGTAAACATGCATGTGCAATCATGCACTGGGGTACACATATTGCTACTCTATGTGAAATACCAATTGGTTCTGATGCTGCCTGCAGTCTTTAACTGCACACTAAGCTTCCTGATGCCTCATGGCCCCAGCAGCCCTCTGTGTTTTCAGCCACATTAGCCTCTACCTTGGTGTTAACAAAGTCAGGCTGCAGGGATTTCAGGCCCTTGTCACCTGCAAGTTGTGAAGACCTTCTCCTGGTCTGGAGATTTTGATCTTCACATCTGGTGGCCATTGCTCTCCGCTGTGATTATGCTTTTTGTCATCTTATAAGAAATATATTGTTGGTTGTACAGATTTTGATTTCAGGCCCTTGTCACCTGCAAGTTGTGAAGACCTTCTCCTGGTCTGTGGCAGGATTTTGATCTTCACATCTGGTGGCCATTGCTCTCCGCTGTGATTATGCTTTTTGTCATCTTATAAGAAATATATTGTTGGTTGTACAGATTTTGGAAAAGGCAGTAGTTATATGATCCCCATAGTGACAGTGACTTGTCACTCACTGTAAGAGTGCAGTGAGCTCTGGCTCATCCCTGGGTACTTCCTATATGTTTCCTCACTGCCAGATGAGAGAGGTGGACAAACAGCTTCAATCAAGTCATGACCCTGCCTCTCTTCCCCACAAGGAAGGCAGTTTCCAAGCCAGTGCCTCTACACCACTTTTGAAGAAGGCTTGTTCTGCTCTTAATGCATTTGAGGCTATGCGGAGTAGAAATGACACTGAGGATGTAATTAGGCGCCTTGGCTTTTCCCACTTACATGAAATGGTGCCGTGTCACCTACAGAGCTTCTAGACATCAGGCAGAAGAATGCTGATCCTAGGAAACTTCCCATTGGCACTCTTACTCTTAATCATTTAGATTTTTTAACCTTTGCCCATGTGGTTTATGCTTCAGTGAACACTTTCCTTTGTAAATCTATGTCCACATTTTAAAATTTTCAATATGTATGGGGTACTTGCATGTGCTCATATATGTGTTTGCATGTGTGGCCATATGTATATGTGTATGCATGCATGTGGGGACTGGAGGTTGATACCAGGTATCTCCCTCAATGTCACTCTGCTTTATGTCCTATGGCTGGGTCTCCCGAAGACCAGCAGTGTAGCTAGCCAGCTGCTCCTGGTGACTACCTCCTGAAGGCTGACATCACAGGTGGGTTGCTGTACCTGCCCAGTTTGTTGTTGTTTTGTTGTTGTTGTTGTTTTTAAAAGATATTTTGAGGAGATCATCAAACTGTGTTTACATCATTTCCATCCTTTCATCTCCACACTCAAACTCTTCCTCTAGCCTCCCCACTCCTCGAAAATTCATGACTTCTTCTTTAATTATTGTTGTATATATACATGTATACAGAGAGCAAGAGCTTGTTGAGTCCTGTCTTATTCTTCTTTAATTATTGTTGTATATATACATGTATACAGAGAGCAAGAGCCTGTTGAGTCCTGTCTTTTTTTTTTTTTTTTTTTTTTTTTTTTTTTTTTTTTTGCTGTGAAGAGACACCATGACCATGGCAACTCTTGCAAAGAAAACATTTAATTGAGGTGGCAGCTTACAGATTCAGAGGTTCAGTCCATTAACAACGTGATGGGAAATATGGCAGTATGCAGGCAGGCATGGTACTAGAGTTGAGAGTGCTACATTGTGTAGGCAACAGGAAGTGGACTGAAAGTCACACCGAGGAAAGCTTGAGCAAAAGGGACCCCCACAGTGACACACTTCCTCCAACAAGGCCGCATCTCCTAATAGTGCCACTCCCTTTGGGGGCCATTTCCTTTCAAACCACAAATCCATTTGGTGTTGCTTGTATGTGTATATGTTTAGAGGTGGCCACTTGAGATTGGATGACCTTTCCGGGGGCTCATCTTGGAGAAGTCTGGTTGTCCCTCTCTTAGTAGTCATTAATTGCCTGTACCTCTCCATCTAAGCATAGAGCCTTGTGAGATGCCCCATCCACGGTGGCACATCCCCTGGTGTTATTGTTCAGATCTTGTTTAGGCAACTGTGTTTTTGAGATATCCTGGCTGCAGTCTCCCAGCAGACTTCTGCTTTTCTGGCTCTAACAGTTTTTAGCCCTCCTTCCACAGTGTTCCCCAAAGTTCAGGAGTAGGGTTGTGTTGTAGATATATCAGGTGGGACTGGGCATCTCGTGGTCATCTGTTCTCTGCATTTTGACCAGTTCTGGCTTTCTGTGATGTCTCCAACCATGACGTCTCCATCTGTTGCAAAAAGGAGCTTCTTGGATGGCGGATAAGAGCTGCACTTCTCTGTAGTATGTAGACAGGTATTTAGGATGCAGTTAGTCAATCTCACCTCCAGACACACTTTGCCCCACACCCCATGAGGGTTCCAGAATAATGGCCCATGGAGTGATACTAACTGTTCAGCCGTGGAGCTCTGGAAGAGCCCAGGCCACAGAAGGCCACTGCCACTCTCTGTACAGTGAGACTGGTCCAGGGGAACGCAGCAGAGAGGTAGCTGCACCCCACCCCTGCACATCCCCCAGGGTTCTGAAGACACCTGACTGACTGGTGCACACCTAAGCCCGGGGGAACCAGAAGACTGTCGTTTACCAGGATGTCAAGCTGAGCCAGAAACCACGGGCTCAGAGGACCATAAGGCCCCTGTGAAGGGAACCATAGCACAGGCACCATGTGGGTGTTCCTTGGTCCTGTTTACTCACCAGTTAGAGCAAGAAGTGGGGACAGAGACCACCCACCAGCTCTTGAGTGCTTTTCAGAGTGTAAGTGTCTTGCTCTGGGCCACAAAGAAATGACTGGAGACTCCCCACTCCTTGTGATTGGAGGGTGGGAGTGAAACTGAGGCTTTTGTCACCGAGCCTGCTACAGTTTAATCCCAGCCTCTTCACCAGGAGGGAAGAAAGGTCAGAAGTGATGGGGCTGGTAAAGCATCACTTAAGCTCATTACTGGGACACTAACCATCCCTTCCCTCTGGGGACACAGAGGAGGCAAGTAATTAAAAAGAGATTACTGAAGTGTAATTAAGGAAGCCAGCACCTTCCTTGGAAAGGAAATCAGCAGAGATCACCCCCAGCCACAGCCGCTGGATTCTTGGGATATAGGATTGTACTCATGCCCTCAGTAAGACCTCCAGTCTATGGAAAGAGTGAAATGTGTCATCTCACACCACCTGTTTGTCATGCTGAGTGAGCCTCAAAGTCTCTTCTGACACATGTGTATGATCTTCTGTCTTGTGGCCATTGAGCAGACATGTGGGACTTGAGTACTTCCTGCAGGGGCAGCTGTCGTTCTGTATCCTGGGTCCTGGCTCCACACTGGGGCTAGTCTAGCACAGGATCCTTCTGCTTCCAGAAGCACCAGTGCAGTTGGTGCTTTGCAAGAGGCAAGGTCAGGGCAGAAGAGCCCACCCAAGGCTGGAGTCCCATTGTGGGCAGGCCCAGGAGTCCACCCATGAGCCAGGCCTGAGGTACTTCCTATGAACATTGCACTCACAAGAAAGCCAGTCCCATGGTTACAGAGGCCAGTGGGCCCATGCAGGGGACTTCAGTGTTCTTCCTCATTGG